TCTTGGAGCCTCAGTTTCCTCTCCTGTAATATGGGTTCAGTATCTCTTAACCAAAATGCTTGGGACCAGAAGTGTTTCAGTTTTTATGTTTTTTTTTTTTTTTTTTTTTAACTTTGGAATATTTGCATCATATTTACCCAGTTCAGCATCCCAAACCCAAAAATCCAAAATCTGAAATGTTCCAATGAACATTTCTTTTGAGTGTCTTGTTGGCACTCAAAAAGTCTTGGATTTTAGAGCATTTCAGATTCCAGATTTTTCAGATTTGGGATACTCAACCTGTAATGATAGTGTCCATTTTACAAAGTTAAATCCCTTAGCCCAGTGTCTATTCTGTGCACTGAGTATACATCAGCTGTTGTCATTTCTAGCCCCTGTATGTTCTCCTCCAGAGATTCCATCAAGAAGACTTCTGCACTGGGTTTGAGGCTCTGACCATCCAGAATTCTGGGTCCTATTCTCCCTCCATAAACACCCAAGGACAGTAAACACCACGGCCCGCCAACTTTTTTGTATTTTCAGTAGAGGCGGGGACTTACTCTCAAGAGGATTGGCTATTTGTACCTAATGAAGTCTTTAAGGAGGCCAAATAAATAATACCTCTTTCCTTCACTGAAGTTCTAAGGCTTATTGGGAATTCAGAGACTAATAAGCTGGCATTGGAGAATGTGGTTTGCATCAACAGGCAAGTAGGTTTTCTAATATTGTATTGAGCAGATTTAACCCCCAGCCCTATGGGGTGCCCACTGGGGAAAGTAGGGCCCTTTAAATCTTAAAGCTTAGAGGAACAGAGCAGAATGTGCATCCCCTGAAAGCAGCTCATTTCCTAGAGAAACAGAAGAGGGAGGGCTGAGCTATTCAGGCAGACACTTCTCAGAACTCACCATCAGATAGCCATTCTCCTGGGGTGGAAGGGCGTTGCAATCTGGGGTACCACAGTGAGGGCCTGGCTAAACCCCATTTGCAAGGCTGGTCTCTCATGGGCACCTGGTGAGCCTTGTGCCCTGCCCTAGTGAGAGACAGGCAGGGCTGGGGCTGCAGGGATTGCCACATGGTCCCGTAGGCACCGCCTCTCCTTCCTTCCTTTTCCACTTGATCAATCCTCACCTTTTCTCCGGAGATGCCTGGTGGGGAACTTGTTTAAAGCAGAGTCCTTCCTTAGACAAGGCAAGCATCTGACTAGAAATATCTGCAATGAATTTTCCTTTTTTCACAGGAGTTTCATTTAGGCAACTCCAGACAGGGAGCAAGTGATCTCTTAACTCCTTTCATCTGGGTTACTTCTTACAGGTAGATGAGAAAATACATGGGAAAGGAACTACCATTGTTTGAGCAAGTTTGTATGTGCCAGACACATTTTATACAATATCATTAAATCTGTACTTTAGCCATGTAAGGGAGGTATCTGTGAACAAACTGATTCAAGGAGGATAGTAACTAGTATGAGAAAAATGAGAGTCAAACCCAAACCATCAGACCACCAAACCCCATCTCTTTCCATCTCTTTGTGGCCTATAGACCCGGCTGCAGGGTAGAGTGACAACGCCTGACCCTTTGTTCCTGCCCCTATAAGAACAAAGCCCTGGAGGCGCCAGTGCTGCTGCTCAGAGCTGAGGTCCTAAGCTCTTGAGGCAGGGCACTGGAGCAGCTTCCCCACTAGGCTTGCTCTACTTTGCACCTCTCTTGGTTTCTTTTAGTATGTAACAATCTTTATCAGGTCTCCTGATATTGTTTAGGAACAAGTTCCCTTCTCTATAAGGAAAAATACAAATTTAGAATCACAAGCTTTTTACTGGCAAGAAATGCCATGCCCTACATTGTGTGGCTTGAGCCACTTTCTATGGCTCACCAAGCTTTGTGCCCTAAAAGTCCATAAATATTGCCAAGGTCACCCAGTCTGTTAAAATCCCAGCCCCACAACTTACTGTTAGACTTGGGCAAATGGTCTAACCTTTTAGCCCCCTTACCTATGAAATGGATTGCTATATCTAAAGTACTTATACCTGAATAAGTATCCAATAAGTCATTATTATTATTGGAGCCCAGATTAATATTGAACACATGGGACTCCTCTATTTTGGATGCCCCCAAATAGTCAGGTTTTCCCAAGGACTCTCTTGTCATATTTTCAGCTTGTATGGGTATGGTAGAAAGAATGTAATGTCTTCCTGGGCTTCCTACTAAGACACCTTCCTTGTTTCCCACCTGAGATCTAACTGGTCCCTAATGTAGGCTGGAAGGCAATGATGATCAGGCTAGATGTTGTCAAGAAAGACTTGGCTAATTGGCTCATAAGAGGCTTCCCCAAAGAGCATCACCTTGGGGATGTTCTAGAGTCCTGGTCCTATCCCTAAGCCTGGTTAGTGACCTGGAATTGATCAGTTGATTGCCTATGTAGAGACTGACTCACAATAATCAAACTCACAAGAGACTGAAGTATACCATTTTTTTTTTCAAGAGAGGCCGGGTCTCACTCTGACCCCTAGCCTGGAGTGCAGCGATGTAGTCACAGCTCACTTCAGCCTTGACCTCCCTGGCTCAAGTGATCCTCCCACTTCAGCCTCCCAAGTAGCTAGGACTACAGGTATATACTACCTCACTCGACTAGTGTTCTAAACATTATTTAGAGACAAGATCTGGCTATGTTGCCCATGATGGTCTCAGACTTCTAGCCTCAAGCCATACTCTTGCCTCAGCCTCGTAAAGCACTGAGATTACCGAAGCATACAATTCCTTTAATAATAATTCTTCTTCTTCTTCTTCCTCTTTTTTTTTTTTGGAGATGGAATCTCGCTGTGTCACCCAGGCTGGAGTACAGTGGTGTGATCTCAGCTCCCTGCAACCTCTGCCTCCCGAGTATCTGGGATTACAGGTGTGCATCACCATGCCCAGCTAATTTTTTGTATTTTTAGTAGAGACAGTGTTTCACCATGTTGACCAGGCTGGTCTTGAACTCCTAACCTCAAGTGAACCACCTGCCTTGGCCTCCTAAATTGCTGGAATTACAGGCGTCAGCCACTGCCCCCAGTGAAGTATATAATCCTGAATGTTTATGTGTCAATATATAATGGGAGACAAACCTTTTCAATGACCAGAATGCTTGATGATAGAGATTTAGGTGAGAAGGCAGAAAAGTTCTGAGGGGTGGGTCACCTAGGCTATGATGCGGCCTAATGAGCCATCTCTGCCTACAGCAGAGAAACTTCCCCAGAGCTCAGGAAGGGCCTCTTTCCTCTGAGAAGCTTAGACAAGACGTTCTCTTTGCTGTAGAAAAATGCTGTATAAAATGGTGGTTATTATGTGATATTCACATAGTCTGTCCTAGCACACAAGAAATTACAAATCCCACATCTATATTGGTTAAAGTTCTTTGATTGCCAGGTATCAGAAACCTATGTTGGCTAACTTAAGAGGAAGTAGGATTTATGATAAGGTACTTGAGAAAATCAAAGGAAAAAGTAGGTAGACAGCAATGCCTCAGGAAGTCAGGACCCAGGGCAGCTTTCAGGTCTCAGCAGTAGGAACTTGCCAACCTTTTCTCTACAGGAGGGAGTCTTCAAGTTTTTTGGATAGTGCCTCTTATTAGTTTAGACAAAAATTTTTTTAGCATGTACCTCCAATGACTATATATTTATTTATTATAAATCATATTCAGGAGCTATTGTACGAATGTGTTAAATACTTTATAAAACATATAAGAATAGAAAGTTTTAAAGAATAAGAAAGATGAAATACTATTTTGAAAATCATACTTTTCTTTTAAACAGCGTCAACAACTTTTCTGCTTTCCCTAAATAAGTATTCTTTAGTCAAGATTCTATGTGCTTCTTCAAGGGGAAAGAAAAGAAAATCATGTTACCAGAAACCAGTGAGCTGTGGAGCCAGGGAAGAGGATCTATCCAGAATGAGCTGTAGCTAAGGAGAGGCACAGTCACTGCCAGAGATGTCATGCTGGAGCAAGGAAGGAAAGGCCCAGGCCCCTCTCTCCACCCGTCCCCTACTGTTGCATTGGCCAAACTCAGCCAGCAAGCAAAGGAGCCCAGGTTATACGTTCCATAGGTGTCATCCTGAAGCACACAGCAGAGAATCAGAGGGCAGGGCAGGGAGAAAGGGAAGGAGGGCAGAGGAAAACCAGCTCAGATACCTGATGTGGAGGAGGGACATCCTTACTTCCTGAATTATTATATTGCATTTTCAGTTTTATCCGCTAGTTTGTAAAAATATTTTTGAGAGTTATTTTTAGCTTTATTAGAAGTAGTATTTTCATTGCACATTTTTTTTTTCTTTGCACAGGCCTTTTAAGCTACATACCCATTTTACGATGGTAGGGTAGGTTAAAACTAGACAAATGTGTTTTATTAATCTACTTGCTTGGGCATACACAAACTGCATCACCCTTCATGGAAAGCAAATGGATACATGAGGGTGCTACATCAGTTCCGTAACATTGTAGAATTCCCCACGGTCCCTTATAACATCTCACAAACTGGACATAATAGTGGCCTTTCAATACATGAACCAACACCATTGCCAATCTGTTTATTAAATATTAAATAAGTGTCCCTTGTTACTATTTTTAATTAAAAATTGAAGGTTTTTATTTTAAATCTCCTTCCTATATTCTATCAAATCATCCTGCATTCCCTGGACGACATACTCTACTCCGAAGACCACTGCTCAGGCCACAGGCCCAGTTTGACTAGGTTCCAGAAGCTCCTGGTCTTTAAGTGCTTGAGAGAAAGAATCCAATAAGTCCAGCTTGGATCAGGATCAGTCAGTCATGGTCAGGGGACAGGACTGTGGGGTATAAATGTGGTCATGGGGAAGCTATCCTTCATTTACAGGGTTCTTACTAAAGAAGGGAAAATTGCTTAAAGTAAAAGTGTTTTCAAAGAATGTCATCACCTACTTATTTATAGCGGTCTTTCTGTCCTGCCTTCTAGAGATGTCTGTTAAGCCTCCCAATTCTGCAACCCCATATACAGAGAATTTCTTGGGTTACATCCATAGATAACTAATCATGTCCATTGTGTATTATTTTTTTTTTTTTAGCCTTGTTAATACATTCGAGGGCAGCCCTATCTCCTTGCAGTTATCTCTATGTGTAGCCAACATTCCTAACAGGTCTGGGATTCACAGACCTTACTGAACTTAGAGGAAGACTGTTTCTCAGGCCACCTGGGCCCAAAAGGATAAAAGGATGTTATTGGTTGTAGACATCAAGGATCGTTTGCATTAGTCCTGAAAACATTTGGCAAGTTGTGTCTATATCAGCATTCCTATAGTTTATAAAGTACAAAAGTTGCTTAGGCACATGAACAAAGAGAGCCTGACTTTTTTAGAGTCCCAGAGGGGAAGATTCCATTTGCTGAATCTCCAGGGACTTGTTTCACATGACAATAATAATAATAATGTGCTTATTACTGTAACACCTGTCATCTATTGAGCACCAGATAAATGCTGTGTTAAGTGCTTTATATACGTTATCTCAAATGTTTGCAGCACCCTATGAGATGGGTTGTATTATCTCCATGTTACTGATGAGAAAATGGAGGCTTTGTGAGGCTGAGCAGTTCATTCAGGATTAACACAGGTAGAAAGTGGCAGAGCCAAGGCCATATTGCCATTGGTGCAAAGTGCTTGTAGCCCATCTGCAGATAGAAACTTATACTTGGAGTTTATCAGGCTGGGAGAGAGTAGAGCTGGGACAATAAGATTTCAAAAAGGGTTAGATCATTATGGCTTTATAGAAAGAGATTAAGGAAAGCTAGCACCATAGCAAGTTTGTAGCAGGTGTTCGGTAGATATGTTAAATGAATGAATGAACAAATGCACGCATGAATGAAACCTCTCAGGTTTAAGGGCATTGAAGGTCTTCCAACATCCATCCCTGGTGCAACTTCCTAAGCTGAAAATGAAGACAGTGTATAAGCAGTGGTCCTGAGTTGTAGGCCTGGTTCTGCCTGCAACTCATGTTGTACTCTTGAGCAAATCAAGTCTTCTTTCCAAGTCCTCATTTTCCTCATCTGTGAGCCATTCATCCCCCAAGCCCCAGTGATTCTTCCCAATGGTTGCATGATGGAGACCATCCCAGAGCAATAATTGTGCTGGGCACTGTCAGTGACAAGAAGGAGGACTGCAGGTGTGTTCGGAGTCCACTGTTACTGTTTATTTATTACAATCCCATTCAAGTCCTTTGGGGACAGTTAGAACTGGCATCAGGTCCAAAGTTAATGGAAGGTTGTGTTTCTAAAAAAACATTTACTGCTAAAGGAAATGCCTATTTATTATCTTTTTTATTAACAAGGCACTTGACTCATGTGTTAAGACATTTACTGCTCAGATTGGAAACGATAGTCCAGGCAGCTGCTAGAGCCTGGTGCCTCTTCTCTCACACGACAGGGCCGGCTTCTCCCAGCTTTCCAGCCTGGGAGCAGATGAGTATGCCCTACAGGAGTAGTGGGCGGTGACAAAAGGACTGGATTTCTGTTCCTTGGAAGGAATGAAACTCACAGGCACTAGAATTTGAGGGGACTCCAGGAGGCATTGGGCACCCCCTAAGGGCTCCTAAGAAGGGGAGATCTGGTGAACTTGAAGAGACCCGGGAAAATGGATCAAGCAGCTAACTAACATCTGCAAAGCACTTTCTCCTCCCCCTAGAACTCATTGACCCTCCCTGAGGACCATGAAACCATGCTATCTGTGTAATCTTTCATGAATTATCTGGATTTTACAGTTTTATGCATTATAGGAAACATAACCCCTCTCACTGTGCCCTCTAACCCACCCGGCCCCAAGGACCCCACTGGGATTTGTGTGAGCCCTAGGTACCTACGCCTTTGTGGGCCCCTTTCTCCTTAGGAAAATAATACAAATTTTATGACTATGTTGGTGGAAAAATAAATATATTGTTATCCATCAAAACATTTTATTTGACCTAACAGTTTATGTTTTCTTCTGATTTTAAAATAAATTATTTTCATGGACCCTAAGCACTGTTTCTACTGTACTTAAAATGGAGAAGTAATCTTTTTTTTTTTTTAAGATGGTATCTCACTCTGTCACCTAGGCTGGAGAGGCTGGAGTGCAGTGACATGATCACGGCTCACTGTAGCCTTGACTTCCTGGCTGAAGCAATCCTCCTGCCACAGCCTCCCTAGTAGCTGAGGCTATAGGTACACGCCAGCACGCTCAGCTAACTTGTTATTGTTCATAGAGACAGGGTCTCACTATGTTGCCTAGGCTGGTCTTGAAGTCCTAGGCTCAAACAGTCCTCCCACCTCAGCCTCCCCAACGTGCTGGGATTACAGGCAGAAGCCGCCATGCCTGGCTGATATGTTAGTCTTGTCCCTGTCACCTTTCTACTCAGAATATGGTCTAGGGACCAGCAGCATCAGCATCACCAGGGAGCTGTGAGACATGCAGAATCTTGAGAGCTGCTCAGACCTACTGAGTCAGACTCTGCACCTTAGCAAGCCCCCAGGTGACCGTGCGCCTGTTATAGACTGAGATGCACTGCCTGCCACACTGGTCCATGGTGTGTTGGGAATATCTGAATCATAGGACACACTCCATGGCCCCCAAATTGCAGCAAGATTCTTTATGGAAGGTATTCCAGCATTAAACGGCTACTTAAGTGCCAAGAGCTCCTGGATGGCCCAGTCTGCCAAAGCCATTCTCCTTTCCTACCCAGCTGATGCTTTCCCTGCCCTCCCCTGCACCCCCAGTGGAGGAGTGAGGCCTAGGAAAAAGAGTGCATTTGCTTCTAAGTTAATTTTTCCAGCTTGCTTATGAAGCATGTGGCCTCCAGAGCCATCTCAGCGGATGAAGGGAAGGCTACAGGAGGCACAGGATCTCAGTGCCTCAAACCAGAGGTGACACCCAGGCTATGGGCCAAAGTCATATGGCCTCAACCTGCTGCAAGGGAGGCTGGGAAACTAGAGGAGCACATGGAGCACTGCCTGCCTCTGCCACAGGTGAACTACAAGTGAGGCAAGTCATGGCTACTGCAGAGCCTGAGGCCACCTACGAGGCGAGAAATGAAGGAACTGGAATGTTGGCAACCAGAGAGTCAGCACTTGCAGAGAAGTCTTTAAAAGCTGGGAGAATTAAATCAGAAGTAACCACACACTCCTGCAAGGTTACTTCTCCAGTGAGAGGTAGTGGGCTGGGGAGGCATCAGTTTAGTAACAGAGGAGAATGGCTTTGGCAGACAGGGTCATCTAGGAATTCGTGGCATCCATACACCTACCTAATGCTGGATATATTCCATATAGTGTTTCTGTGGTAAAACTCATTGCTATAAGATGGAAGCAGACATCTCAATTGCACTGGACTTAACTCAGCAAGATCCAAAGTACATCCAGAGCCACTGAAATCTGGGGTTTCCTGTTGCAGCAGCTACTTACTGTTGATTAACCTAATTCACCACCCAAGCAGCCTTGTCTTTAGAACCGTCTCCCTTCTCACCCGAGGCAGAGACATTTGTCGTCTGTTACTGGCACTGCCTTCTCCTGCCACATTGCTTCTCTTGGGCAGTGTGGCCACCCCAGGCCTCTTTGCCTGCTCAGTGCCCGCACCCCAACCCGCTCTATGCCATGCCCTGGATCAGAGTCTTGTTGATTCTATTTTATAGGGAAGGGAACTTGAGATCTGATTGCTAAATGAATAAGCTGGGTTTAGAGCCTAGGTCTTCTGACTCCTGTGTACCTGGCTGTGGAGGAGGAAAGAGGAAGAAGTAGAAGGCCTTCCTAGCCATCAAGGATAGGAGAGTTGTTCCCTCGGGAACCACGACTACCTTTACCGGGCTCCTCACCCTGCATCGTTGCTGAGAGGTTTTATAAAATTAGACGCTGTTGCAGGCTTGGGGGAGGGCATGTCAGGACTAGACTACTGCTTCTGAGGGAAAGTGGGACACCCCCTTCTTCAAGGCTTTTAAAGGATTAAAAATGCTCTTTAACAAGTTAGTGAGTGCTTACCATGGGCCAACCATTGTTCTAAGAAGTTTGTATTACATAATTCACAAGATTCTCATTATCCGTGTTTTACAAGTGAGGAAACTCAGGCGTAGAAAGATGAAGCAGCTTGCCCAAGGTCACGTGGCAGGGCTGGGATACGAACCCAGGCAGCCCAGCTCCGGGTCAATGGACATAATCATGTCCTCTCTCGCCTCTGGACACCCTCTAACCTGAGAGGATTTAGGGCATTTCTGAGTGGAGATTTATTTATTTATTTATTTTTAAGTCAGAGTTTCATTCTTGTCGCCTCGGCTGGAGTGCTGTGGTGCAATCTCTGCTCACTGCGACCTCTGCCTCCTGGGTTCAAGCGATTCTCCTGCTTCAGCCTCCTGAGTAGCTGGGATTATAGGAATGAGCCATGGTGAGACAGGGTTTCACCATGTTGGCCAGGCTGGTCCCAAACTCCTGACCTTAGGTGATCCAGCTGCCTCAGCCTCCCAAAGTGTTGGGATTACAGGAATGAGCCACTGTGCCTGGCCCAGAGTGGAGTTTTAAAGAGGACAGTTTAAGACAGTCCTTGGAAAAACATTTCATGGTGAAATAAATTTGGGAAACATTATATCCTTTTGCCCTTTCTTGGAGATTTATACTGCACATTTGCTTCTTAAAAGTTCTGAGATGTCCTGCAAGACAGAAACCTGTCTCCTGCTGATATCCCCAAACACAGTGAAACACAAAACCTTTCTTTTCAGAGCTCCTGGCAACATCACCCAGAGTTGGAGTGGTATAGAACTCTATACAACTTTAGGAAAAGTGCCTAGTGGCATTCCTATTTGGGTGGACACAGGATGGATCACATGGCATCTAGAGAGTCCTCGCCACTTGCAGAACTGCTAAGGAAGGCTCTCAGTAAGCCAGGTCAGCTCACGAAGCTTCTTCCTGAGAGGCAGACAGTGGGCTGGCGTGGGGAACGCATGGGCTCTGACAGCTTCAATTCCTGATTGGCCACCCATTAGCTCCGTGACTTTGGAGGTCACAGCCTCACACTGAACCTCAGTTTCCTTATCTGCAAAGTAGCACCCACCTCATAGGACAGTCAAGGAATTGAGTGAGTAAATATGCCTAAAGCACCAGGCACCAGATCTGTGGTTGGCAGGACCTGGAGGAAAGCGGAACAGAGGGTGGCTGCTTCGTGGGCACAGTTTCCATTTGCGATGAGCAAAGTGTTCTGGAACTGGATAAGGGTGGTAGGTGCCAACACTGCGGAGGTACTTATGCCACTGGATCATACGCTTTTTAAAAGCTCTGTGCCTCTGATGGACAGTGAATGTTGTTATTGTTGTCATTGCTTGTTCTGCTTATTTCTACAGCCTCCTGGTCTCAGGTAGACTAGGACACTAAGATTGGAAGCTTCCAAGAAGCAGGATGGACACAACTTCACCACATCCAGCTGGAGGTCACTGTGCCTCTTTTCCACCCCAAAGAGGTCAGGGGACCCCTCGGTCCAAGGGATAGTTTCCTCCTGAGAAAGGGAAGGGGAGACTCTTGGGTTGACCTTGAGTTGAACAAAAGAACAAGGAGGAAATTAAGAGAGCTGAGGTTGAGCATGTGGTATACACTCAGATTTAGACTCATAGCAGCATCAAAAGGAATGTTAACCCAGGATTGCAGAAGGTGACAGGAGACTCAGAAAAGGTAAACATTGGTCTCTTTGGTACAGGCAAAATCTGCCCCAGGAAAAATGCTTAATTATAAATGAGGTGCCAACTGGCAGAGTGTGTGCAGAGGTCTGTGCCAGCATTGACCAGTCGCCTAACAAGGGGGCATTTCTAGACAATGGTGGGTCTGAATACATTTCAGAAGGTGGCTATTTCACAAAGACTTTGGAAAGAGAAGCAAATTGAGAGAGGGCCACTGTGGTGGTATGGAAAGGGCACTGGGCTGGGGTCAGTCTCAGCCGGGCTCCTAATGGCCTTGTGACATTGCCACATCACTTCATCCTCTGAATCTCTTAGCCTCTGCATCTAAAAAGCAGACATAATAGTTTCTTCCTTGTAGTATTTCTGTAAGGAAGAAATTAATATGTCTGAAATAGCTTAGACAGAGGAAAGCTCTAAATAGCAAGAGGTCAGTATTAAAAACTAGGAACATCCTTTAAGGATTGCCATCAGGAGATGACAAGATTAAATCGCTCCCTTCTAAGAAACCTTGGGCTCTCCACAGGTGAAGGCAGTTAAGTAGACCCAGTACGTTGGTGAGGCTTGCAGATAGCAAGGATAAGCAGCTTCCTGGTAAATGCAAAATTTCCATATGACCCAGCAATTCCAGTCCTAGGTATATATGCAAAAGAATTGAAAACAGGTGTTCAAACAAAACTTGTATAACAGTGTTTGTAACAGCACTATTCACAATTGCCAAAGGGAGGAAACAACCCAAATGTCTATCCCCTGATGAATGAATAAACAAAATGTGGGATGGGTGGATAGATAGATAAATAGATAGATAGATACGATGGAATGTTATTCAGCC